TTTCGTTTTTTTTTTGTTTTTTTTTTTTTCGTTTTTTTCGTTCGTTTCACTCCGACGTTCGGGATGCCTGCGCCCGGTAGTCCGAGCCTCGGCACGGATCGGCGTACCGGTCAGCCGAGGCTCGGACTCCATAGCTGGGCCAGGTACTGGTGGTCTAACTGTGCAGGCTATTGGAGAGAGGGGAAACCTCTTTGCCCTAAAACCGGCGCCAGATCCCTGCTGCAACACACTAGCTCCTCCCTCCCCCTACTAATGATTCAGTAATGAAAAATAACCAGAAAAAGGAGACAATTTGAAGAAATGAACTTATCCAACATTCATGGATGACCTTTTTTAAGCACCCGCATACCACTGAACCTCGACCGTCGAGTTCGCAGCCGGCGGGAACAGATCAGGAAAGTCTGAGAGAGGCCGCAACGGGATGGAGGGGTCAATTCGAGTCCAATCATGAAAGAAGAGGTGGTAGTCCCTTTCCATTTTTTCCCCAATCCTTCCTTCCCTTCCCTCCCCCCCTTTCCATTGCACATTTGCTATCCAACTTCCTTGTTCCACTCCCAGCCAGTCGATACAAAAGGATTGAATTTGCATTCAGATTTTTGCTTTTGAGTGTATGAAGGCTATTTTTTCTTTACTTTTTCCCATTGAAGCATAAGATCTACCTGGACCTGATGTTTGGTTGTCTCTATGACAGCCAATCCTTCAAGGCGGACTCCTTTCATCTCCCTAATGCACCTTTTCCACCAGATTGCCCAAAAGATTGCTCTTCGTCCCACTGCGAACATATTTCTCTCAAAATTGCTTGCTTGTTCAGGCTGCCAAGTTTCACATAGGATAGATTTCCAGTTCACGGCCAAGGGATTGTAGCGCCTTACAGGCGCCATATTCGATCCCACCATCTCCATAACCAGACTGACCCAGGGCATTGTAAAAAGATATGTTCAATTGTTTCTGGTCTCCGCCTGGCAGGGTAAGATGTCGCACATAGTTTGCACCAGGGGAGAGCACGGCCCTTCTGTTCTAAACAAGTACGGTCAATCAACCAGTCATTTGTGGGCAGACAGCGGTGTCCCAATTGCCATTGCAGAGACGCAATCTTGGCTGGTAATGACTCACTAAGCCTAAACCACTTGATGGGACGCAGAGTATTCCTTCCTAAATTCAGGCCTCTCATCCAACGCTCAGTTACTACATCTCTGAGATTCACCACTGGACGCAGTGGACGGTAGGCTCCCTTAACAGTCATTGAGTGGATCTGTTGTTTTCCTGTCTTACCTCTACCCAACTGGGTGGTCCAGCCCCGAGAGGCCGGATCAAATGTCAAGTGTGCAATTCAGGTATCGGGCCTGTATGTCGACCACTGTTCTCTTTCCTTTAGCACCCTAATTCGAAAGATTTCCTCTTCGTTAAGCCACCTTGTCTCTTCCGGATGTGTGGAAAACTCTACAGACTGTCCGTTCACACCCCATCACAAGCAAGCAAAACACCCACGAAACAAAGAAAGGTCTGTCATAAATATCGTCACAAATAGAACTGCCCGGTAAACCGTAGGCAGAGAGAGAGAGAGAAGAGGACAACAAACATATATATATATATATATATCGCCATATATATATCGTCATATATATATCGTCACAAACAGAACTGCCCGGTAAACCGTAGGCAGAGAGAGAGAAGAGGACAACAAACGAGGGGCTGTGACAA